TTATTTGGTGTAAGTTTTTGTGTATATTTTTAATCTTTTTTTCTTGCGGACAAGCCATCATTTTCCTCTTATTTTTTATTTCTTTTCCATTGTTTGAATTGAACATATTTAAGTGGGCACTGTGCTGGAGATGTGAGGATAAATTCTCAAGGAGATTTTGAAATAGGAGTGGAGGGGAACAATAGATACTTAAGTCTGATAATGTGCACAGTTAGGCTTTAAAATTTTATTGATGTGTTTAAAATACAATCTTGATGTTTTGGCTGTTCCCCCCTTGCTAGGGGCCTGTATTAATAGGAAGTTCTCAAGGTGGTGTCAACATTGAAGATGTGGCTGCTGAGACCCCTGATGCGATAGTTAAAGAACCTATTGATATTGTAGAAGGCATCAAAAAGGAACAAGCTGTCCGGGTATGTTATATTTGGAAAAATTTCTAGCTAGTGATTAGAGAGTTATAATACTTAAAGATAATTAACTTTGTACAAGTGAAGTGATTGTCAAAACTGTAAAAAAAAATTTCTAGTGTCAAGGTAAGTTAATATCTTGTTTGAAATTGTAATTTTTTGAAGTATCTATAATATTTTTTATCATATCCTCCATAAATATTTCAAATTGCATCTTTAAAAGATAAGGATTCTTTTAAAATAGTCACTATACCCTTACGATATCTAGTAAAATTAACAAAAATTTCTTAATATCATCACCTACCCAGTCATTCAAATTTCCCTAATTGTTTCCAATTATTTTTTCTTTTACAATTTGTTTGAGTTGGGATCCATATAAAGTCCTTCATTGATATTGGTTAATATGTCTCATAGGGCTTTTCTGACTTACAGGTTTCCCTGTCCTTGCTCTCTACATCCTTTTTCTTTCAATTTATTTGCTGAAGAAACTGGGGTGATCATCATTCATTGTTTCTCATACTCCAGATTTTACATCTCCATAATACCATTTAAAATGTTCTTGTGTCCCCTTTATTATTAATTATATAGCCTGGTAGGGACACTGTCTTACATATCTCCATGATAGATCAGTGCTTTTATTTTTGGGGGGTTTATGGACACTTTTAAAAATCTGATGAATGGTGTGGACTTTCTTTCAGTGTATGCACATACACAATAAATTTAGCCTACAATTTCACTGGTTTCCTATACTTTTTTTTTTTTCTTTTTTGAGATGGGGTCTTACTTTGTCTCCCAGGCTAGAGTGCAGTGGTGTCATCAGAGCTCACTGCAGCCTCCAACTCCTAGGCTCAAGTGATCCTCTTGCCTCAGCCTCTTGAGTAGCTGGGAATACAGGCTCACACCACCATACTAAGCTAGTTGTTTTTATTTTTTGTAGAAATGGGGTCTTGCCATTGACCAAGCTGGTCTTGAGCTCCTGGGCTCAAATGATCTTCCCTCCTTGGCCTCCCAAAGTGCTAGGATTACAGGTGTGAGTCACCGCATCCAGCTGGTGCTGTCCTTTTTGTGTGTTTTTGTGCTTCTTCCCTTGCACATCCATTCCCACGCCCCCCCCCCCAAAAAAAAACACAAAAAAACTCCATGGCCAGTGAGAGTTGCTTGGTAATATTTGTAATGCTGCTATTCAATTAAGTTGTTTGGTTTGGATATAAAAATAAGTGGTTCATCTTAAAAGAAAAGTTTGAATATTGAACTTTGAATGAAATTAAACATTTTTTAGTGAGGAAACTACATCAAAATAAGTTTATGGGATTGAAGTACAACAAGAGCAAGAATTTTGACTGGCACAAAGGTTTAAAGGAGATAGAAAAATTTCCCTGATGAGTAGTGAAGCAAGTAATTTAGGCAAATGAATGGTATAAATGTTTAAAAGGGACAGAGATTTGATTCATTAAGTAGTTATGTGAGAATGATGATTGGAGAGTGAAATTTAGATGAAGAAGATAGTATTGATTTACAAGAATACATGAAGGGCTGGGCGCCTAGCACTTTGGGAGGCTGAGGTGAGAGGATCTCTTGAGGCCAGGAGTTAGAGACCAGCCTGGGCAACAGTGAGAACCCATCTCTGCAAAAAGTAGAAAAATTAACTGGGCATGGTGATATGTGCCTCTAGTCCCAGCTACTTGGGAGGCTGAGGCAGGAGGATCACTGGAGCCCAGGAGATGAAGACTGCAGTGAGCTATGATGACACCATTGCACTCTAGCCTGGGTGACAGAGTGAGACCGTGTCTCAAAAAAAAAAAAAACAAAGAATATGTGAAGGAATAATCTAAGGTTATATCATTTTGAGCAATGAATGGAAATAGTTTCTAGCATTAGCATTAATGTCATACTGGATTGATCAGAATTATGTTGCAATTCTTAAATGTTTAAACCTAAAAGTAGTGAGTTGTGACCTAGTGGTACTTTATTTGAAATAGATCTTAACCAAAAATTACATCCCTTGGCTTGAACATTCACTTTTATTTATTTTCATTTGACTCCTTGCAAAAAATCATATTCACCCTTGAAGAATTTAAGATTTTCTATCATAGAAAATCAGAAGAATGTGTTGCGACCTTAGATAGCAATTGAAAAAGACAAAAGAATTCTCCATAGTGTTCCTGACCATTAGAATAAACATAGACATATATTCTCTGTACTAGTGATTCAGAATCTCTTATAGAACTTTAAACATGATAGACGCTTTTTTAAAAAAAT